GGTCAATATAATTTATGTTCCTGAGTCGCGTAGGTTTAGTTCTATGTTTTTATCCAATACGTCCCCAGAAATCTTACAATAAAAGAATAACGACAAAAGACTGTCATTTTTCAGACAAAATGTGGAACAGAGGAACGATGCCAAAAATGGACAAAGGGAAACAAGCAAGTTAATACGTCGTTGTCCTCTGTCACAGCGTTAAAGGATGAGGCGAAACGAGTGAAGAGAACACCATGGTATCAAACCCAAGCCTAATATGTGATGTACCCAAACTAGCTATCTGTGCACCGACACACTAGATAGAGTGGGTGGGTGGTGGGTGCTCTGGTGTGGTTTGCTTCTTCTTTCTTATCAAACATCTATCGTCCTTATCTCCCCTTCTTCTTTTTTGTTTGTTACTCTCTTGTAAGCGCCGTGAAACCTCTAGTAAAACTAAACTAAAAACACTAGATACAGAGAGAGAGAGAGAAAGAAAGAGTGAGAGAGAGAGAGAGAGAGAGAGAGAGAGAGAGAGAGAGAGAGAGAGAGAGAGGGGGGGAGAGAGAGAGACCGAGAGAGAGAGAGAGACCGAGAGAGAGAGAGAGACAGACAGACAGACAGACAGACAGACAGACAGACAGACAGACAGACAGACAGACAGACAGAGGGGTGAGGGGGAGGAGGGGGTGGACGGAGATCAAGGGAATCAAAATACAAAGCTCACAAAATCCCCAAACCACATTCTGAGATGGGGGCGGAGGAGGGGGGGGGAGACAGGGTCACTGGGGTAACGAGGTATTATCCACGTTCATAATCTTGCGGAGGGGGGAGGGGGGAGGTCTAACGTTGTGTAATCCACGTATATTTCAAGCGAGAATGAGATCGCATTAAATTATGTCCCTTTAATTTGCTTCATCGGATTATGAACCAAAGTACTTTTTTAAAAGCCGAAAAAAAACGGTACCATCAATTGTTTATAGTGTAAACAATTTAGCCTTTTGAGTTTCTACTATTATGTATTTTCCTTTCATGTGAGTAATACTGAGTACTCTTTTAAAAATATATATTAAAAAAGCACGCTATGTCATAAAAATATTCTTAAAACTATTAGAATTTATTAACTATTTTCATGCCAAAGATAAATTAATCATTAGTGTTCACAGTATCGACGTCAGAAAAAAAAGAAAAGAAATATATAATTTGCATTTTTCCCTACCACAAAGGGGGGGGGGGGGGAGTCTGAAGTCTGAGGATTTTTATGAATTTGGGGTCTTTGTTTAGCAAAAGGCACAGCAAAACTTGATCGTTCTTACCCAATAAAGATGTTAGGTTTGACTCAACATCAGAGAATTATCGGCATTTGCTGTGAAAACTAGCTGAAGCGCCAAAATGATATTTTTAAAACATGGCCTACTTTTTAGAGTACTTAATAGGATTACCGGCGTGAAAGTAAAAGTGTAATATTGTCAAGGCATTTTTAAATAGGAACTTTAGGCACAGGCTAGAAAAAAGGTATAGTCTTACTGATCTCGATCTACACGCTCCTGCA